TAGCTAATAGCTGTGACGCAAGAGACATGAGCGGTTATTCCGGTAGGGGGCGCTCGGTGGCCCATAAATCCTAATTCTCATTGGGTTCTATTCAAATTTCAGCACAATTTTTCTTATTGAGGGGATTTTCTTTTTTTAAACAACGTATAATCTTTTTACTTTGTTATTAATTTGAATTACTATGGGATTCACAATTAGAAATCTACCGTAGCGGATTCGCTATATTTTTATGTTAAAAAATAATCTCTAGTAAGCAAAAACGGCTGTGATTGGTTCATTCTGAACAGCGCTGAGAAATGTAACACGTACCACGTGACAATTCCGCACGCCGCTTCACGTCGCTAGCGGTCATGAGGGTAAACAACACTTAAACAACGGCACCGAGACACTTTAATATCTATTCAATTTAAAAGTTATTTAAAATAGTAGAAACACGATTTAGAACCATCATACCTGACCAGTCAGAAATAACAGACCCCGCCCGTTTTAGATAAATATTTTATAATTGAGACTTGTTATTTGCACTTATATATTGTTGCTCTTTTGTTCGTTTTGACTGCTTTCATTGTCCTCATTTGTAATTCGCTTTGGATAAAAGCGTCTGCTAAATGACTAAATGTAAATGTAATGTAAATGTAAATAATGCCAGCCGCTTAAAGTAGCGAGAGATCTGCGCATGCGCACACTTCAGTCACACGTTGCATTACCGAAGTGCAAGCCGGGAAATGTAGTATGAGTAAGCGGCCTAAATTTGAATAAGTGCTGCTCAACTTTAAATCTAAAAGAATAATAATGATAATTTTGGACATGGAAGAACCAACGTTTTTTTTATTTGTGTATCAGAAATACCTTCAATGCTTAGTGTGATGGCCATAAATTCAACAAGGAAATAAAGAAAAATCACAATTCACTTTTTTTTTTTTAGATCTTCTAGATCCATTATTCATTAGAGTTGTATCCTTCGTTCTGCTCCCCTTTATATCGTAGCGTTTCTTCCAGGGTTTGTCGTGTCAGGTCCTGCACATTTGTGGCTCCATACTGTTTGCTTGCTATTTTTGCCAGGTTAATTATCTCCTCATCATTCACACCGGTGCTCGCAGACAACACTTCTCCTTCTGTTTCATTCTGCACAAACAAAACACTCACAGTTATGCATTTAACCATTTATAAACAATGTGACAACCTTTCATGAAATTTCACATGAACTATTTGTATTTTCTATGACAGGCCTCTTAGTGTCTTCAAAATAAAAGCTCTGTAGGTTCAGTAAACAAACCTCAACTAAATTCTTTGAGGCTTCATTGTTAGTTCTTCAGATTTGTGTTTTGGTTTTGGAGGATTTTAAAAGAGTCTCTCCAAAAACACCAAGCAAAAAATAAAAAAACCTTTCTGGCTTTATTTCTAACTTTGATAAGAGTACTGTTGAAAGTTTTAGGAAACTTGCTACCTTATGTTCTCTTTGATACTGGTCAACAGCATACTGATATTTGGCAGCATTCAGACCCAGCAAACCAGCCATTTTCTCTCCAAGAAAATCACAAACTACAGAGAAATTAAGTCACAGTGAGTTATAATGATTAAATACAATATTTCTGATAGAAATGACAGAGTTTAACACAGTGTTGTACATTAGCATTTCTGTATTATCGTACAAAGCTCATGCGTAATTCATTAGAATTTGTATTTAGATATAATAAAAAACTGTATTCTAGCATCCACACTTAAATCTTCAGTAAAGACATTATATAACAATGTTTACATGCACTAATATTCCATCCTCAGTCGTTTGCTTATCTATTCAAAAAAGAAGCTTAAGCGCATGCGCAGTGCTCAATCACCGCGTTCAGAACGGAGGAAGCCACTGCGATTAAACGATATCAAAACCGGAGCGACCGCGAGTAGAAATGCCATTTTGCCTTGATGACATATCTAAAAAGAAACATTTTTGTCATGTCGGAAAAGCTTTTTTAGCGAACATTAACAAATATTCCGGTAGGTTACTGCTTATGCGCAAGGTACCCTGTTGAAAAAACCAGCATATGCTGGTTAGGTATGTTTTGACGCTGGGATGCTGGTTTAAGCTGGTCCTTTGCTGGTTTATGCTGGTCATGTGCTGGCAAATGACCAGCATAAACCAGCAAAAGGACCAGCATAAACCAGCAAAGGACCAGCATAAACCACCAAAGGACCCCAGAGGGCGGGGTTTATCTGGGTTTGTGATGTCACAAACCGGGAAGTAACTCGTTGTAGTCCCTACCAGCCGTTTTTGTAGGCATTAAACTGCCAGAATTTTAAAAGACGATATCTCCGTTTGCATTGAACTTTCAGCTTCGTAACTTTGCAGATATTGTTTATGCTCAAACAGCAACATTACACACTAACGTTAAAAAAAGTGAAATCGCAATCAACCACCCCTTTAAGATTTATGTATTTGAATTCCATATAAAATTAGTGAAATTCCATCTAACATGAACTAAGAAACCTAATTTGATACATATTTGTCAGTCATACATAAATGAAAGAGTTAAGATTTCTGCTCTCTCAAAAAAAAAAAAATCGTAAGTATTTGCGTTTATTTGATTTTAAATAAACACATTTTCAAAATGCATTTATATAAATTGCTTAGAATCGGCATAAATCTTTTCACCGTGAAAACAATTAAATTTATTTAGTTAAAAAGTATGAACCAGCATTCAGTTTATTATTACAGAAAGCGGAGCTGTTTTATTCTCTGTGTTATCAAACTGGATGCATTTTATATGCAATTCGAATATATAAATCTTGAATTTAGGCCTGAATATTTTGTGAGGAAGTGTGAAGGTATATTTACCGAGGGCAGGTGCTGCGATAAGTCTATGTATACATTAAATAAAGGCTTGGTTAAAAACGCAAAAAGCCGAATAACAAAAGAGACCAATACTGACCTGCTGCTGTTGAGATGCAGACAGCTGATCTAACGCTAATAAACCACACTTACGTCTGTGTGCATGCTGTGCCCTTTCCAGCAGAATCCTCCGTGTCGTGCTCCTTTGGTCAGAATATCTTCAAAGAGATCCTCAAATAATGATTTTTCTCACAGTTGGCAGAAAGTGTCCTTCACCATCACAGGAGGAAGTCTCATGCACACGGATGTTGTTTGTCCAGGACAGATGAACTACATATTTGCTGATGTAGACGTCAGTCTTGAGCATATAATCTTGATATACTTGTATTGCAGGTATTGCAAAAAGATCAAGCCAGTACCACATGATTCGAAAATTCTGGAGAACAAATGCTGCACAAAACAAATAGCTGACACACATTTTAATGGGGAAAATCCATTAAATGCATGACTGTGAGTTACAGTTTGACATCGTAATCTGTAAGTATACACGATGATGAATACATATCCATACAACTGCATAGATGGCAAAACGAATAATTACAAAAACTAAAAGTGATCATGGAGTGTCATCTTACAATGCCAGAGAAAGTCTTAAAGTGTTAAATAAATATACAGCAAAATATCTGACAATCATTTACCCTTAATAAGTATACAAGCTCTTGCTGTTGCGTATGAATTAAAGCAGGGGCCAAAACATTTAGTGATAATTTCTGTACCTGTGGCCGATGTGAAAGTGCATATAGTTTTGTTGAAGTTTTTACAACCCTTAAAATGAAGCACCAGTGTCACATTTACTGACGCAAACATGGTTGAACATATTCAGACAAATGTCAGTGTTGAGCTTACAGAAAAATAAAAAACCTATCAAATCAAACCAGCAAAAACAAAGTGAGTTTCCTATGTCACGCACAGCACAGCAATCCATGTTTAGATTATTTGGACCGGTTTCAAATCAGAAGCAAAATCATTTTTTTCATAAATGACTGTAAATATATACACACATAAGTCCAGTAAAAGTTGATATTAGAAATTCTAATCAGACTGAAGCTCATGGCACTTCACATCTTCACCCTGTTTGATTGTTACCCAAATGACGAGGATGGTTTTAATCTGAGCTAGTCAAATATAACTGGGTCTCATTCTGTTCTTTTCATACCAAAGCCCAACTAAAAAATGTGCTTTTCCACTCCTCCCGCTTAGAAATATTAATCATACAGCAGATATTTTAAGTGCAATAAGTGCCAAGTCATAATCTTTTATCTTAAACTAATGTACTGTGTTGTTGAATTTCGATAGCAACTGCTTTTGTTTAGTAAAATCACAAAAGTCCAGAAATTATATTTAGCATGAAGCCGATTTTTCAGACAACTATTTATTGCATTATGGCATTATATAATCATTATATAATATATATTTCATCCATGACAATTAAGCACATTTAAACCCCAGATTCTCATTACTGCAATGACAAAGAAAATTCTATTGAAATTATATATATATATATATATGCAGTGTTGGGGATAACGCATTACAATTTACGTAATCGGATTACTTTTTTAACTTTCCCCAACACTGGTTATGTGTGTGTGTGCTTTGAAAATGTGCTTAATTGTCATGAAAATAATGTTATAATGCAATAAATCGTAATGGTTTTTAAAAAAAAAGTCCAATCTGGACTTTTTTTTAATGGTTTTAAAAAAAAAAGTCCAATCTTTTTTCTTTAGATGTTGGGGTGAAATCTGATATTTTTTCCTGAAATTCACCTAGTTTAAATGCTTTTTAACATTTGCATTAATCAGTGGATAATTTTAATAGAGTTAATTTCTAAACATTTTTTTTTTAAATCAATGGACCCAATAAACCTTAAAAATCTCACTAGGATCATCTATATTCTGCTACAGAGAGATAATCAAGTGCAATCAAATGGTCATATAATTAAGATTCAGTCTGGGTTATTAGGATTAACTGTTCGTCAGATTTTAGTCACGCAATCTGTCGTTTGTAGACGAAACACCTTAAACAGAATCCGAGCACGAGACAGACGCCACGGTTATATCACTATTAGTATACAGTGGGTACGGAAAGTATTCAGACCCCCTTAAATTTTTCAAGGAGAGAATTAGACGAGAGAAGACTACAGACTCCAGATCTCCTGGACTGTTAAGAGACGACGCAGCCCGTGTCCTTCTGCGGCTTCAGATCCGGCTCCTTCACCGGCTTTATCTCCTCATCGTGCTTGGCTTTTGCCTGGAGGGGGGAAAAAATCATTAAAAAATGGCAATATTTTAATTGCTAAAGTCAATATATAGTTTGATGTAAAAATGGTTTATTTTGCTGATGAGACATCATGACAGTCAGTAAAGAGGCGTCCACTAAGAGCAGATACAGAATGCTGTCTAATGTAAAAATACAATTTAGAACCAAAATTTATTTGCATATAAATTCATAGCATTTATATTTAACACACTATTAATTATAAATATATTTAGGTCAAAGACAGAAAGGTTTTCAAGCATTAGAATGTGTCTTGTTTAATTTGACTTTTTTATGAGCATGATTTACAGAAGACACCTACTAAAATGTCATTCAGTGTAACAATAGCTTAAATACCCAAAAGTCTTGTCAAGCATATTTACAAGCAGAAGCATTAGAGGACATCATAAGACTCAGTGCAGCTTCCCTAATACTAATTAATTGTCATTTTAAATCATTCTAAACATTAGGTTTGACACATTTGTCAGCAAGAGCTTTAAAATATAATACAATTTTGTATGATCATTTTTTCATTTATATATACAGTACCGGGCAGAATACGTATGTTGTTTAATTTTTACATAAATATATCTGTTATGCTGAATGACGATGGACCTTTATTTCACCGTTTTAGAAACACAATGCATTAAGGGGGGGTGTGAAAACTTTTGACCAGGCTGAAGTTAGTTCCATTTAGTACTGCCCTTCAGAAGATACTTATAGGTTTCCCAGACGACAAAACAAGTACAATTTACCCTGACCTTCAAATTCAAAAAGTTTTTACCCCCTGCTCTAAAGGCATCATGTTTCCTTCTGGAGCATCAGTCAACTTTGAACCTTTTGTAACAGTTGCATATGAGTCCCTCAGTCGGAAAAGATGGATCTCAAAATCAAAATATATCAAATATGCAAGAGATGCCAGAAAACCATAGAATTTGCAGGACCTGGTTGATTTTTCTTAAGAACAGCGAGCAGTTTAACACTTCAGGAACAATAAGGGACTCATGAATAACATAAACAAAACATAAAAACAGTCGCTGATCATCTAATTGTTGACACAGAATTAAGAATCAAGCGCATGTATGATCCCTCTTATTTTAGTAATTCATATTTTGCATATACACTACTGTTCAAAAGTGTGGGATCAGTAAGACTTGTAATGTTTTTTAAAGAAGTCTCTTCTGCTCATCAAGGCTGCATTTATTTGATCAAAAATACAGAAAAAAACAGTAATCTTGCAAAATGTTATTACAATATAAAATAATGGTTTCTATTTTAATATCCTTTAAAATATAATTTATTTCTGTGATGCAAAGCTGAATTTCCATCAGCCATTACTCCAGTATAAAGTGTCACGTGATCCTTCAGAAATCATTCTAATATGCTGATTTATTATTAGAATTATCAATGTTGTGCTGCCAAATATTTATTTTCATGATTCTTTGATGAATAAAAAGTTAAAGAGAACAGCATTTATTCAAAATATAAATCTTTTCTAACAATATAAATCTTTGCTATCACTTCTAAAAAATTTAACACATCCTTGCTGAATAAAAG